ATCGATTCGAACTTTGCACGCCTATCCGGCTTTAAGACACCCATTCTACATGGACTTTGCTCTCTGGGCTACTCGGTTCGTGCGGTGCTCAGCAAATACGCCAATAACAACAGTGAGCTCTTCAGGGCGGTGAAAGTGCGCTTCTCGGGCCCCGTGCTGCCGGGACAAACCCTAAGGATCGAGATGTGGAAGGAGAGGGCACGCATCCACCTGCGCACTGTAGTCGTAGAGACGGGCAAGGAGGTTATCTCGGGCGCCTATGTCGACCTGAAGGAGTCTACGGCCAAGCTGTAAATTCATATTCAAGGCTGCCTGAAGCGAGGCAATCATCACTTATACATACATACAAACATGTATATATAAATATACACATATATAATATTACAACATAACCAGGCGGTGGTATAAAAATATTGCAATCAACACACTTATAACTCTGCTAAATGTAATTGTTCTTTTGTCTAATTTTAATAAAAAAAACACAAATCGATGTCTACTTTACATAATACTCTGGAACAAAGAGTGCAAATCATGATCACAGTTCCGTAATTTCTACGGCGGAGTTAAATTAATAGACAATTGATATTGGCGAGGCATGCATTCAATTTACAATAACTAGAAATAGGGTAAAATAGATAGAGCGAGCGTATACAATAGCAGATAACAAATGATTAAGAACCGGATGGAAGCTAAAAATTATGAAGCGGGGAAAAATAAAATGACTGAGGGATATAATATATCATATCATATCATATGATATATACATATATATATAGACTTTTCGGATTAAAATGTGCAGTCTAACCCTAGAACCCTATTCAAATTTGTCTTGAGTACAAACTCTATAAAGCAATCGAAAGCAAATGAAATTGCATGACGCATATACATATATTAATATATACACCTATACATATGCACATACATCTATAATATATACATGACATAATGAAGTACAATCTACGATATCAGTTCAACCATATAAAAAAGATTTTTGCTAAACAATTACATGAATGACAGTGAGACGCAAGATGTTGTTGTCGCACTTCAAACTAAATCTCGGCTCATATAACAATTAGAGAATCGAAATGATATTATTGTAGAATAAACCAGATGTAAAACGATCTGTGTTAAAATAAGAGCTACGCGTACTTACCTAACCGTTGTATCATTGCTGCCCGATACTACGTACTCCCCGGATGGATTAAAGTCCAAGGTTCGCACACTCTTCATGTGCCCATTCAATGTTGAATAGATTTTCTGGGCATTCAAGTCCCAGCGCCGTATGATGCCAATATCATCGGCTGAATATACAAAATTATCCTTATATGCAAAGCGAACGCATTCAATCGAACGGTTGTGGCCAGTCAAAGACTTTATAGGGAGGAAAAGTGATATGGTTGTGAATGAAATATATATATTTGATATTCACTATAGATCTTCATATACAAACCATGAAGCATTCATCTTGCCCAATCGCCCATAGATTGACATTCCGATCTTCGCCTCCAGTGACCAGCACTCGACCCGTTTCACCCAAATCGAGGCTTGTGACTCTGCCATCGTGTGCCTTAATGTCATCTGTATATAATGAAATAAATAAATATACATATATATTGATTACAAGAAATGTTTGGATTAGAGTCAAATGCGAGTTAAATGTTTGCTTATAGCTTGTCGTTCATTTTACGTCTACGAACAGCATTCGATTTCCTTACTCAGAAAACATATGTATGTATGCACCGAATCGAGGCTAGGCTAACTTAATGGGAAATTGAAAGATATATTGTTTATTTCTTGGGCGGAAACTGACTGACGATCGTATTACTCTTCTAGTGATTTATTGATGATTCAGTGGAAACTAGAATCAAAATTAAATTTATTTCAATTTATGAAGTGAAATTTAAAACACATCAAAATATAATAAGTTATAGATTTATTTTAAGATCAATTCAATCTATTGGGTAAAATAATTGAAGTACATTATAAAGGGTGATGAAATCAGTTACAGATTTATATGAGAAGAAATATTAATACTTTAAGATCCGTTCTATCTATTAAAAAAATATTTTAAGTTAAATGAATTATAAATTTATATGACGTCGATTAGTGGAAATATATAGACATATATTCTAAAATCTATTCCATCAATTAAAAAATCCATTCAATACATTTAATAAAACTACTTAAATGCATTTTAAATAGTTAGAATTTATCATTCTATATTTATATAAGATCAATCAACGAAAATATATAGATTTTAAAAGTAAAGTGATTTAAATATATTTCATAGATATTCTAGATTCATGATACATGAGATCCATTCCTGAATATAAACAAATGTTCCATACATGCACATACCCACACATACATGTGTATCAGTGTATTATATGCAACAGATACGGCATGCTGTAATGTTTTGCCGATATTTAGGAAGTTGTTTATGTTAATCTATACAATAGTGGAATGTTTATTTTAGCTTTTTATGGTTGTTTGATGTCGTGACCTCATCTTAACCTAACTCCAATACTTTTACATATATTAACACACGCACATTACACACGCACGCACGCACACACACATGCAGCGGCACACATGTGTAACTGCATGGCTCCTTACAAGGGCTGCATCCCACATGCAATTATTTGCATGTTATTGGCCAAAACCGTCTGACACACAAAACACAAACACACACACATCCTCGCACACATGTACGCACTCACAGATAAACCGCTCGGTGTGCAAGTGTGTCGGCCAATAAGTATGAGAACTACTTTCATAGAGTTGAAATTCTATTTTACTTACATATCTTTGCCACAAGATTTCTCGGCAGCGCCATTTCCAAGAAAATTACCGTTACAGGTGTAAGTTTAGGTTGAGCCCAATATTATATGTTTAAAGCGACAATATTATGAATATTTTATTTTATTTTGTCGCAGGTGTGATAATTTTAGTGGGTTTGAGTTAAGTCGGATCAGCTGTCCGCTATCTCTTTTATGAGCCTTACAGACAACTTTATTAAAAAACACAAGAAATCATAAACGCATATGAACAGACGTAACTAAACCGTTTTACATGATTAATACCGTATTAATATTATACAACCGTCACATCAAATAACGATAAACTTTACAAAATTCGTAGACTAAACAAATGCACATCATATATGTATGTAAATACACACATATATATATATATAAGACTACCAGGGCTGTATAGCAATTTTTTACTCATATGCTGTTGCCACCTCGTTTTTGGTATGATTATTGAAGGCAGAATGTGGCCAGTCATTGTCAACAGTGCCAAAATGTTATCGATACCTTGGTGAGCATAACAACTCTGTGGTTCTGTCAGGCTTTCCTCAAAAAAGCATCATCATTGCGCTGTCGAAAATTTGCCGACTGCATTTAAAAGTTTTATTAAGTTAATTTACGCTGCGTGTTTAAAGGGAATTAATTAAAGATGTCTTCACGTTACGATCGAGCTGTTACTATTTTCTCTCCCGATGGTCATTTACTTCAGGTCGAATATGCTCAAGAAGCGGTTCGCAAAGGCTCCACAGCGGTATGTTAACAACTTGTTATTTTCATTGATAGTGCTCAAATTTATTCATTAATTTCTGCAAAAGGTTGGCGTGCGTGGTGCCAACTGCGTTGTCCTGGGCGTTGAGAAAAAGTCGGTCGGCAAACTGCAGGAAGATCGCACAGTGCGCAAAATTTGCGTTCTCGACCATCACGTACTAATGGCATTTGCTGGCCTCACTGCCGATGCACGCATCCTTATAAATCGTGCCCAAGTCGAATGTCAGAGCCATCGTCTCAATGTTGAGGATCCCGTTACACTTGAATATATAACCAGGTACAACAAGCACGATGCTCCAACATTTGGGATTCAATACTGAAATTGTTTTGTTTTGCTTTGCAGATACATCGCACAACTGAAACAGAAGTACACCCAAAGTAATGGACGACGTCCATTTGGTATATCATGTCTAATTGGAGGCTTCGATGCTGATGGATCGGCACACTTGTTTCAAACCGAACCATCGGGCATATTCTATGAGTACAAAGCCAATGCCACCGGACGTTCGGCAAAAACGGTGCGTGAGTTTTTCGAGAAAAACTATCGTGAGGAGGATGTCAGCACTGAGCATGGCACTGTGAAGCTGGCCATTCGCGCTTTACTCGAGGTTGCTCAATCTGGTCAAAATAATTTGGAGGTGGCCATCATGGAGAATGGGAAACCGCTTAAAATGCTGGATCGCGAAGTCATATTAGAATATGTGGCTATCATTGAAAAGGAGAAGGAAGAGGAGCTGGAAAAGAAGAAACAGAAAAAGTAATACCAATTCCAATTTCATGTTAAGTCATTGGTATTGGTATTATCCTGTGTTATTCTTTAACTACAATAAAAACGAAAAAATCTTTTTAATTTCATATTTTTATAAAATTTAAAAAGGTGTACAATGGAACACGAATATTTAAAAGATATGTATCAAATACATGGTCCTCAAAAAAAAAAACGCAGCTTTATATACTTAATGAGCAGGCAGGCATACATTGAAAGATTCTACCGGCTGTAAATTAATAATAAATTAAGAGAACTATACTTGGGGCCACACGCGATACATGATATTAAAAACTTTAAAAGGTTTCCAGCTGCAATTCACGTTGACGGACTCTTCATAAAATATATGCTACAAAACAAAATTGTACATAAAAATAATTTTTTTTTTTTTTTTTTACATTCTTCTCCTTATCTTAAATTAAATTAAGAATACCTCGGAGGCATTTAATTTAGGCTCGAAAGAATTTAAAAGGCAAAGTCGATATAGTGTTAACAGTGACGATAGTTGGAGAACGGCAGGCAACGATAACTGGAGCTTTGCGCAAAGTTCATATTGAACGATACTATTGAAACCCATCCCTAAGGCAAACAAGTGCTTTAGAACACTGGCAGCAACAGTGCTGCAGATTGCACGCCTAAATTCATATGAGAATTTCGCTTAGTTTACTACTACCACTGTCCGGAGTCGGAAGTTTCGCCGAAGAGAAACCGAAGCAATAATACAAAAAATACAACAGAAAAAAAGAAACTATTGAATTGAATTGTATAAAGCGAATATCGAGAACAAGAATATTAAACGCTTCTGCTGCTATACGACAACATAAAAAGAACAAAAATTAACAAAACGCCAGCACTGTTTCGCTTTTCATTCCCTTTGCCTGTCATTCCAAACCAAGCAACACCATCAGACTAAAATCAATAATTTAGTTGTGTGGTTTTCGCGGCTTTTTGTGTTTTCTTTAAAAAACAATCAATACCCGAAGGTAACGTGTGTAGTAAAATAACAATTCACCTCAGTGTGCGTTTGCATTCGTTGACGCTTGACATATTGGTACACAATTTATTTATTTATTTAGTTTTTCTATAAATCATTTTTGTTCTCTTTTTTTTATTGTTTGTTTTATAAATCATACGAATAACATGAGCATTATGAACAAGATAATTTTTGGCATCCTTCAAATCTCGAAGCACTTAGCACCATGTTAAAAGGCTGCCAACCCTTCCGCCCCCTCCACACACACACTCTCTCACACACATACACACTTACACACTACACACGCATTAAGTATAAGAAAAACCACGTACTATTTATGAAATGTATATAAATACATATGTACATGCCTCTATGTACATACATGCATACATGCAGCATACATATATACGCATGCACACACACACAGACACATACGCATTAACTTAAAGTTTTTATTTGCGCTTCCGCATATATTGGTAGAATGCGTTAAGCAGAAACAAGTACAAAAACAGAACTCAAATCGAAACGAATCGAATTCAATATATTGCTGCATATAAATGATTTGCATATATTAAATATACACATGCATGTATATAATGTAAATGTGTAGAGATAATATACATACATATATATTATTTTCACTTCGAATATAATTTGTTTATACGTTCGGTACATACATGTGTACATATATGACTTTTATAATGCACCAAATTATGTATATGTATATGTATTTGTGTGTATACACATGTATCGGTATCCCTATGTACACACACTGACGCTCCAATCTTATCTTTGGCATAAGTGGTCCGCGACGGTTGGAAAAGGCCTGTCCTCTTATCTCTGTTCAGTTCAGACTGTCACAATCATCCAATACACCGTATTACGAACAGAGTCATATACAAACATACACACACACATACACATACTTATAGATACTTTGGTTGAATTCCATTAGGATTTACACTTGTTAATCGAAACTCTGACTCAGTATAACTCTGTCTAACTCTCCTCCCCTTAGGTATCAAGATCTCAAGATTTCAAGCAAGCGCATCAAAATATATCAAATCCATAATGAACTTAATCAAATATTCTGTAAATATATAAATACATATGTATTGTAAATAAGACAAAATTAAAAACTGTATATAGAACTTTATAATGTATTATATGTACTTTTGGTCTGTAGATTTTCTCATTTCGTTTTTCATACCATGAACCATATTCGGTTCGCCGAATAGCATAAAATTTCCCAATTTTCTGCCCTTTCCTTTTACTTTACTGTCTGTGTGTGTGTGTGCGTGTGTTGACCCGACCTGACACTCTCCGTATTTCACATATAATACAATAGAATGGGCACAGAAACGAAGAGCAACAGTTACACAGGACAGATTTCAACAAGTGGCGGCAACCCTAAAGTGATGAAAGATTCTTTATCTTTAGTTCGTCAAGCGGTCAAACAGCAGCAATCGAATCAAATCAATTTGAATTCAAATTCGAACACCAATCCGAATCCGAACTCCAACTCCAACACCAACTCCAATTCGATAACATATTCAAGCGAACAACAACAACAGAACAACACGGGTGATATTGATATACGACCAGCCAAGCAGGAGGATAATAACACACGAAGCATAGCGAAAGATACGGTTGTGCCATTCGTGCCAATATTTGTGGAAGAAGCCGATGTTATACAAGGTGCTAAGGATATACTGAAAGTAATACGACCTAATTGGGACCTCAATCACGTTGACTTTAAGGTAATTTAAACACATATGTAAATATATATGTATATATTCTACGGTTATTTTAAGAGTAAGATAAGAGCCAGCTAAAATAATATTCTTCAGCAAGATATACCTCATGTATCATTGAGATAATCCATTGTTGTATGTATGTATCCAATTAGAGCTGCGCCTATTGGTAAATACTACATTTGACATTCACAAACTATTTGCGTCTTATTCTAAACTATTGAAAAATATAACAGGCTATGTATGTATATATCCTTAATTATAGATCTATAAACAGTTATGGTCATGGAAATAATAGTAAATAGAATTTACTGTTAAATACAAAAAAAAAAAAAGAAAAACAATATTGAAACACATATTAAAGTGCACAGATTTCTCTTTTAATCTTTCTTTCTTAATCATCCTAAAACAAAACCCAAATTTCCCATTTTCAATGGGTTTAGGGTATAAAAAACGAATATATATTCTCAACGAAAAAACCGTTAATTTTTATAATTTTTCTAGATTGCTTTCTACACTAATCAGAAAGTGATGATTTTTTAATTTTCCTATTTGTGTAGTGCAACACTATTATTTTTATGACAACTGTTCAGTTAATATATGTATATTTCTATATAATATATTTATATACCTATATATATATATATATATGCACACAGCTGTAATTTGTAAAGTGTTTTTTGTGTGCAAAACGCGTTGAATGATTACAATGCATAGCACGAGGTTTCAATAACTCATTAGTTAGTTATTATTTGCTCGTTAAATCGCGACTCAATAACAACTTCCCACACGTATTTTTTGTATGAATATATGTAGCACACAGATGTAAATATATATGTGTTTTACCTAATATATATAAAGGTACATATATATGTATATACATATACATATATATAAATCTTTGTTTATAATCAATTTAAAATGCGTGACAGCTTGACTGTTGTTTGACAGAATTGCCTGAAACGTTGAACTATTATTTGTACATAAACATAAACATATAAATCAGTTTCAAGCCTCGCACTTTGTGCTTAATGGTTTTACTACTGAATATATGTATGTATGTGTGCGGGTGTGCATATATATTTATTCAGTAATTGAAGGAAACCAGTTTAACTATTACTATTCGCTATTTTTTTGTTATTGTTGCTAATTGCGTTGCTGTAAATTAGATTTAATTTAATGCGAAACTCAAAATGCGCATACGTCTGCGTATACGCAATGTATATAAGGCTTAGCCTGGCTATATAGCATATCAGTTTATGAATTTATTGATGTTGATAATACACTATATGATGATAGCACAAACACACATACACACACACACAAACGCACAAACACACAGCTGGCACTTAAATCACAAGAATTTCATTAAAAATTGTTCGCTTTTGACTGAAGGCTTATCAAAACGATTATGTCTGGACCCCCATAAGCACATGGCTTTATTTATGTGCATGTGTGTGTGTGTGTGTGAGCGTGTATTTGTGTATATAATATAGTTTTAATGAGCAACTGCAGAAGTATTTGTGTGAGTGCGCGCGCTTCATTATTTCAAAAGTCACAAAGTTTATCAAATTTGATTACTAATACAGAAACACACACACATGTGTGTATATGTGAGTGTCTTAAAATCCGTTTTAAGCATTCAAAAACATGGCTGATGCTTAGCTAGATTAACTGCACATTTAATACAAATTAAATTCAGACTTTGAGCATCAAATACTGGACGACCTATAAAATAAAATACCCCATATACACGGACATGTACATACACACACACACACACACACACAGAAATACATACATACACAGCTATCGGAACTTGCTATATATGACTTTAGCTTAGGAATTTTTTAATCTATTTGTAAATCAATTAACATCTTTGTTAGTTAGCAAGTTCATATTAGTTTTCTTTAGAGTTAAATGTAAAAATTACAGCGAACAGTTTGAGACCATGTAAATATATATATATATGTGATGTATATACATACGTATACATATGTATGTACGTAGTATGTAGAAGTAAAGCCTTTTCAGTCGGGCATAACCAACTGTCTAACACTCATTCATGTGGCTAAATTTGGACTCACCACGCCCATGAAGGGGGCGTTTTATACAATTTGAAAGCAGGTCAAACTTGACATTCGTAGCACTGAAGCTGTGGGACATATGCCCAAGACGCAAAGCTATATATACTAATTATTTTTAGCTAAAATAGGTGTACGAGAGTGCATAAATAAATACAAATATCTAAACTCTATTATTTAAGGTGCTACACCGTTGGTATATGAAATATAATATAAATGTTTAACACGTTATATACTATGTATATATGTATATATGACTGTATATATATATGACTGTCTAGATTCAATAACAGTTTAGATAATAGAGTTTTACTTAGGTACGTCAATTTATAGTAATAGCTAATTTATGAGGTCGTCACGCTTGAGACTCCAGCTGTCTAACTCGATCGGTCTAGTTTCAATAGGATTTTCCTACCTAAGAGATAAGCTATATATAAGCTATATGAATTTGAAGTACAGAATGCTTGAAATACTTTCACAGTCATAAAGACATATAGAGATAGACACATGACACAAAACAAATATAATCGCATTTTTGCTGAGCAAACGAGAATGACTATTCTTCTATATAATGAAAGTTAAAGTGGAAGTAATACGTTTCTATGTAGCAAATATTCACTACATTATGACCGTAAGCCGAGCTACAGCCCTATGTTAGGAGGCGTATATACCCAAAAAAGTTATCTCAACTCCTCATCAATCAAGCTTTTTCCCAAGCTAGCAACTCGTATTGCTTCTGATACCATATTTGCAGAGATCGTAACTTTTTAGTTATATTATATATTACATAGATCTCTACTAAATCAGCGAATATGCTCCCTATAAACAGTAATCATATTAATGATTAGTAAGCCCAAACAACTTCATTACTAACTTTCTATTATATATACATATAGTATAAATATTATATAGTTACTTTTACTATACATACCTGCATTAGATATACTTCCTACTACTACCTCCCTCTCAACATGCACTTCGCACACTTATAATATACCCATTAATCCTCGACTGCAGTGTACGAACTACGCCCCAAAAAGTTAGATCAATATTCTTGCAATTACACTGTAATCTTTAGTATCTTTAGTATACAAATATACATATATAGAGAATAAACACTCTTTTAGATTATCTCTTGTTATTTACTCATTGTATGGCTTTCCATTTGGTCTTTCCAGAAATTTACAGATGGCATAACAAATAAGCTAGTCGGCTGTTTTCACAATTGCTCCAAATTGGGCAACGACAATGACGAATCCTATTTATCAATCAATAATGCGACGAGAATTTTGCCAGTCCAATCGGAGGATCCGGTTATCCTATCCGATGAATTTACGACAATTGATGGCGAGACAACGGAACAACAGAATGATCTACAATTACCTATACAATACTCCGATAACGTAGTGCTTGTCCGAGTTTATGGTAATAAAACGGACCTACTGATCGATCGGAAAGCTGAAACGCAAAATTTTCAATTACTGCACACGTACGGCTTGGCGCCATCCCTCTATGCGACATTCAAAAATGGGCTCGTCTACGAATATGTACCTGGCATTACCTTAAATACAGAAAGTGTGCTATGCCCAGATATTTGGCCACTGGTCGCTCGCCGCATGGCCGAGATGCATCGTGTGGTTAGGAAGACGAATGTGGATGGCAAACCGACGCCAATGATATGGAAGAAGACGCAAAGCTTTCTGGACTTAGTACCTGAACGATTTAGTGATGCTGAAAAACACAAAAGGTACAAATCAAATGCAATACGATACGATACAATAATATATGATCTCAATATTTCTATCTATCTAAATCTCTTTTTTCTATCTTTGCCTTGCCAGAGTGAAAGGAACATTTTTACCTATCGGACGACTGCGTGAGGAGTTCAATAACTTGTACAAATACTTGGAGGCACTAGAGAGTCCAATTGTTTTCTCACACAACGACCTGTTATTGGGCAATGTCGTCTATACGAAATCAAAGAATGCTGTTAACTTTATCGACTACGAGTACGCCGATTACAATTTCCAGGCCTTCGATATTGGCAATCATTTTGCGGAAATGTGCGGCGTCGATGAGGTCGACTATACGCGTTATCCGAAACGCGAATTTCAGCTCGAATGGCTGCGCGTCTATCTCGAGTGCTATCTGCAGCGGAATAATATCCAAAATGAAGAGGTCGAACGGCTCTTTGTCCAAGTGAATCAATTCGCCTTGGCTGCCCACATTTTCTGGACAGTTTGGTCTCTACTACAAGCTGAGCATTCCACAATTGACTTTGATTATGTTGGGTAAGACAAATGATGCATCTATATATTTACATGCATATAATAATCATTTTCTTTATCCTTTATACAGCTATGCATTTCTTCGTTACAATGAATATTTGGCTCGCAAGGATGAGTTCTTATCGTTGACTGCTTCAAAGAACAATAAATGATTTTTTCCCAGCAATATGCAAATAATAATATTGAAACGAAATACACACAATTTTGTGTCCAACCCCAGTGATGTACTTATATATATTGATATATATGTATATGTATATGTGTATATATATGTGCGTGTATATACATATATATACATGTATCTATTCTATTGTATAAACTATGGCTAGCATTGATATACTATATATGTACAATTATACATAGTATATACATACATACATTTATGCATGCGTATTTGATGTATACAGATGTATATAGAGAAAATGATGTGTTCACAAAACTTCATTAATTAGTGCCGTGGCCCTACCAGCCGTAGTCTATGCATATATACACACATATATGTATACATATATATAATGAATTTGTATATGTTCTTTAATTTGTATATTGATATTTTGTAGTCATAAATAAATAAACATAAATATTTAGTTTTCATATTAATGCATCTATACCCTACAAGTTCTCTCATTCTCTAGCTTTATAATACAATGTATATATACATATACATATATGTACAGTTATATGTATTTCGAACCAAAAATCACCTGTACATAAATGTATCGTTACAGTGGGAAAATGTACAAGGTGTAAATCACAAGGTACATTCTAGTCGAATCCCATTTGTCAATTAGCGAATATCCCTCATTCAAAATTTCACTATATATAAGCGCTAGAGTTCAGCGTGGAGCACATGATGCAGAAAGGGACGGAAGATAATATTGCCTATCTGCTCACTCCGCTGGCAACAAGTGCGCCTTAATAGTAAAGCCTTTAAATAAGAATGATGGCAACGTTATATAAACTTTTTAAACTAGCCCAATTATGGCTATCTTTTTCGGTTTATTATTCTTAATGATTGTGAATGTTTAGCAAAAAAAAAAAAAAAATGTTTATAAATGTATATATATAATATACATGCACTCCATAATAAATACTTAGGAATATATATGTATTTACATATATTTTGGGCGTTTAACAAAAGGTTTTACACAACAACGAATTTATTTAATTTATACAACATTATTGTATAATTTCAAATACTTCCTAAATAAGGTTTAATTTTATACAGTTGTCCGATTCCCATCGCCACCAAGTTTTTGAACAATCTGAAATATAAATATAAAAAAAAAAAATACAAGAATCAGATGATTTGAAATAATTATTGAATCTAACGATATTTTTCATTTGAATTGCTGTTGGCCGCAATTCGATTTTGACAATTTAGTTGGCTGTACAGCACTGACACTTGAGTGTTTCGATTGTCAAGCAAAGCATATCGATATATTTATTTTTAGGTGATTGCCATCACCAGTTTGTCAGCTGTCATACCTAAAATAAAGGGAAACTAGAGTCAAGCGAACGACTTCCTAAAATTACGATTTATTATTAATCATGAGCAACTATATTGCTAGGAAGGGACCTTTGGTTTTCTGTAAGTATACCCTCATTCTACTAACCAATATATTGCGAAATCATAAAAGGCGCAACCTTAACCGCTGCGCATTTGGCTGATTACGTAAATTTGTAACACAAACTTTGCAATTCTACATTCCAGCTAACTTGGGAAAATGGGCCTACAATCTGTCTGGATTCAACCAATACGGTAAGCGCTAATTGGACAGCACAACTTATTTGAATGTTTCATGAATAATGTCATTTAAGGTCTGCACCGTGATGATTGTCTCTATGAGAACGAAGATGTTGCGGAAGCAATCCGCCGCCTTCCACGCAAACTGTACGATGAGCGCAACTATCGCATAATTCGTGCTTTGCACTTGTCCATGACCAAGACCGTTTTGCCTAAGGAGCAGTGGACAAAGTACGAGGAAGATGTCAAGTACTTGGAGCCCTATCTGAAGGAAGTGCAAAAGGAACGCGAGGAACGTGAGGATTGGAACAAGAATCACTAAAATTCTTCTCATTGTGCGGATTTGTAAATGTTGGAAAATACATAGATTAGATTCAAATTAAAACTATTCTGAGAAGAAATCATTAATTCATTGATAGCTATGGGCAAATTCGATGACATATACATATGTAACTACAATTTATTTATAGGTATTAATTAAGTAAACTGTAATTTGAATGCAGGAATGGGGCAAAAGAGCGATTCTATTGCTAACGCTTATAAAGAATTTTGCGTCCTATATAATACTGGCGAGTTCCTTCAGGCCGCACTTGGAACAGTGCTTGAAATGTTAACTTATGTGTCGTTAGTCCTGTTTATCTTACCTTTTGCATAAAGGGTAGATTGAATAATGATCCTAATATGGGCACACGGCCGAGGAAATTGACGGCTACAGGGAAGAAGCCACTGAAAGAGGGAAACATGAATTAGCACGTGCTCCGGCAGGGTTCATTTAGATGTTTGTGTACGAACCTGAATAGTGCGAAAAATCCATAGGATTCAATGATCATGCCAATTATGGGGAATCCAAGCAACACAATAACAATTCCACCAAAAAAAGCTGTTGTCCCTTTGACTTTGTGGCGCTGAAAGAAAAAGCGTAGAGTTCGCTCAACGCCAATGACGCAGCCAAGGCCGGATATGAAGAGAATCTGTAACAGAAATGCAATTGCTATAATATCCATGCCATAGATTTCTTATATATGCAATATAGCCATCTCACGCACATTGCCAATGGCAAGCAAGCCCTTGTCAAATAAAAGCAACATGCCAAGAAATAAAAACGATATGCCGAAGCCAGCCAAGCCGATTCCAATTTCTGCAAATAGTGTGCAATAATTAATATGAGCTGTGTTAATATGCCAATAACGAATATAACTTATTGTCTAACATACTTTGGAGATCTGTTATTTCAATCATTCTGCTTTATTTGGGATATTTATGCTTAAAAGGATAAGAAAGTGCATTGGGTGTATTCCACGTAAACACCAAATGTTTCATTATTATGAATATAAACAATCATCGCAGGGTTGCATTATCAAAATCAGTGTTGAGAAACACGCAAAAAAGAATGTCATACATACCTCGATTTCAATATTTAGACAATACTTATATCAATATTTTCAGTAAAAAACTATTTACAAACAAAATTATGCAATTGAAAGAACTTGATCAAAAGATATTTGAAAATCCAGTTAACTGAGAAAGTCGATTTAATTTTGAGGTTCTTTCTTTTTGTTCAATAATCGTCCTAGGATACAGCAAAATAAATGTTTATTGTGATCTAAAATTTGTTTCAGCGCCAAAGAAATCGCCGCTATCTTGCCTCCTGCTAATCGACTAGGTGTTCAATTCGTTTTCGATTGCTTGACAGATGGGCGATAAATAAATTTCTTACATCCCTAGATTCACACGCCATTTTTACAATAAAAAGTCAAGTCGAATTTTCGACTGACGCTGGTGTTGGGAAAAAGAAACGCAAGAAGTGAAAGAAGTTTGAGAAAAGTAAAAATTTTTTCCCACAAAAAAAGCAGTAAACTTATTCGTGTTTGAGTAATGGATCGTAAGTGGACAATAGCAAAATACGCTGTTAAAGTTGAAGAAAAATATTGAATGTGCAATTTTCAGGTGGCGGTTATGGTGGTGGTGGTGGTGGTGGCGGCGGCGGCGGCAGCGCCGGGCAGTATAATAATTTTGCTGTTCCTCCGCCAAATTACCAGCAAATGCCAAATAAAACTGGTAACTATAACGAGCCCCCTCCAAACTATAACAAGCCAGGCGGAGGTAAGTACTATCCAGAAATTCAATCCAAATAGCTTGCAGCAAAACAACAATATTTTTCTTTAAGGTTATGATTCAGGCCATCGTGGTGGCGGTGGCAGCAGCAGCGGCGGCGGCGGCGGTGGTGGCGGTGGTTCATGGAATGATAGAGGCAATTCTTATGGGTATGTTATTATTATTATGATTCTACTAAAATACAATGGGGATAGTGTACAATGTGGCTACGAGTATTACAAATTCAGAGTGTGTTGCCAAATAAGAATTCCATTAGAACAAAAAAAAAAAAAAAAAACAAATTTAAAAAAACAAAAAAAAAAAAACGAGCATACATACGAATACGTAAATATCGTAAGAGAAAAGAAAAGAAAAACGAACAAACTTTTGCAAATAATATAACATTCTTTTCTCAAATTGGACTTTGAATGAATTTGCCAAGAATAAGCACAGAGAGAAAATATCCTTGTGAGTTTATCGTAATAAAGTAGAGCCAATTTTTGTTATTTATATATATATTATAAAGTCCATGTCGCATACAAAAATAAAAAACTCGTATTATCGTGATAAACAAGATAATGCAAAGACAATTAGATTCAAGCTGGTATTTCAGATGTAAAAATGATTATTTATTTTGTTCGAGCGCACATTGAACTATAATGATGTACATTTGGTCCTCACTAATGAAATAAATTATGTGTCCAAATTAAAACTAAAAGTACTAAGTACAAATATAATGACAACGAATCAAGGTGGTTTCCCATATATATACATATATATAGATATATAATAATTGCATGGTTGTATATCCAAGATGTTCCAAAGCATAATATGCTGTCATCTACATAGTGTACAGATCGTTAATTGATAATTACAGAGTGATGAGGAGAGTAATTTACAATTCTGAATTGATCTTCGAATGGTCTATCTGAATGTATACGTACTACTGATATATACTAACATTTAATGAAGTCTCATTTGTATGAAATGCTTTGATTTTAAGCTAAATTAAATGGTGAACGAAAACGATGATTTGCTCGATGCGACTTATAACAACATGATTTACAAATATAGCTCTCTCTCCCGAATTGTTGAGACGGACGCCCTCCAGCATATTGAATGGGATCGATTTTACTCGCTCTCTCATACCTTCTGCAATTGTCTCTCTCTCGCTCTCCCTTTCTGAATCCAGCAAATAATTCATTATTTGAGCACACATTCTGCATATTTCGTATAGATCATCCATATAAAACTGCGTTATACTTTAAGCATTTTAACAAATAATTAAGGAATTAATCATTGGCATTTGTAATAGTTGAAGCCGTTTAAACTGCTACTGTTATACACAAAGGTGTTTGTATAACACTTGGGATGTTAAGTACTCTTTTAAACTTAGTCGTAGTCGCAGCAATCAATTGTCGATTTATCGATTGTCACATTCAAATTAGAACGCAACTGGAAAGTTGTTGTGTTTGCGCGCTTTTTGGATTATACAAAATAAAAAATATTAAGTAGTTTATATCGAATTCGTACATGTTTTATGTTAAAAATATAATGTGAAAATATATATATATATTTAGTATTTGAATATTACAATTTGTGTGTAATCAATGCCTAATCACAATCACAATCAATATAGTTATAATAAATGTATGTACATGTTACTAATAGTATGTTAAACTTTAATAATATTAACGATAAGTAGCAAAAATAATTATTGAAAATGTATGTGCTTTTCTATTATTATGCAATTCCTATAAAAAGAGAAAGCAAAAGTCGAGCAAAATGTTGTGTACGTTCAATATATTTAAGCTGTTTTAGTGAACTTGAATGATACTATATATAAAAGTAGGGGTTATGTGTGTATATATAACATTGAAGAAATCAATTTCGTATTTTGGTTATTATAAAATGAAAACATGTAGTTTGTTTCGAAATATGTTTCATATATGTATGTATGTTGATCATAATTTGAAATGTGAATGCAAAATGTATCCATGCAGAGCCAAGAATAGATTAACGACGACTTACATCTGAACAAAGAAAGAAACAAATCATAACCAAAAATATAAACGACTTTTACAAATTATAATCATGTTATCTATAAGAACTATGTAATTTATAAAACATATTTGAGGCGCGAAGGAAGCGTCAACTGTCTGCATGGTTACAGTGAAGCCTCGGTGCACCGATAAAGCTATATGCCATAAATACGTTTTCTCTGACAAAATCCAGGCAAACGTCGCACATTATAATTGTAATATGTAAATTTGAGGGTGGCACAGATGTATTCAGCATTTGAGTAAAACTAATTACGTAGCTTTTAAAAGTTGTAAACATTTCTGTTCCAATGGATGATTATTTACCAGATCACTTCGAATGTCGCTGGATTATCGAATGCGCATCAAAGTGCGCTGGTAAAGATCATGAGACCCTTTTTTTTTTTGTATGTTTAAATAATTGATTTAGTTAACAGTACACACATACATATTTGCATGTATGTGTGTGTATATGTACGTATGTATGTATATAGTCACATGTTGTTGTACGATGATACTAGCGGAGACGTTCGTGGGCGTTAACTTCCATCATAATGCATTACAATCCAAAAACAAAACAAAAACAACCATCAAAATCCAAAAACATTAAATAAGTTATTCAATATCCTCTTTTAGAAATGGAGGCGCCAGCAAGGACAACTACAACAAAGGTAAAATAATGCAAAACAATTTGCAACCATATCGAGTAATGTATAACATTAATTTACTACAAATCAAACAACAAATTAATAATAACTATGCAAAAAAAACTAGAGAGAAGATGAGTAAATTTCTGGTACTTAAGTCTAAAAAAAACGCGAAAGAAACGAAATAACAGGATAATACGAAAACAAAAATAACAAAAGTAAAATGAGTTCAAAGCTTCGTCATTTCGAGTTGTTTAGCTTCTATGCCAAGCTGAGTGTTTAAGTGTGTATATTCGAACGTTAAACAATTAAGTTCAATATGCGGCCCGGGGTCATTGGGTCAAGGTTTACGTTTATCTTGGTTTTGGTCACTGATCACTGGTTTATCCTGCTTGCAAAATATGTAGGGCTATTGGTATAATGTGTGTAATGAGTGTGTGTATGAGCGTGCGTGTATGTGTGTGAGTGTGTGTGTGTGTGAGTGAGTGTGCCTACGGTTGTGTGTTGCGTCAAAATATATATATTTATATAATATTCCTAGCGACTTATCACATCTGTCTGAGACAGCAGCTTAAGTAATATCTATAGGTAATACGAGTAAACGTAAA